AGATTCTATAGCATGTCCAAAGTAGACTGCAGAACTCAGATTCAGGTTTCTGATTCCCTTTTGCCTTATATCTCACCTGGCTATATTAAGAAAATGAAATTGATAACTCTTAGAGTTACTGAGGTTTTACTAAGACAAACTTTCATCCTGGAAAAACATGTGGGTTTCGAGAGTATAATGGCTAAAGAATAACATTCACTGAGTGGTTTAACTCTTGGGCATTATCCAGTTACTGACAGTTTAAGTAGCCAACAGTGTCATTTCATTTCGACATTGAGAATACCCTGGGAAGATCACACTCTGTCTTTCTCATGTCTGAACTGCCCGCTGCCAAGCTCCTGCAGTTCTTCTGTCACATGAGATGAAGTGTGGGGTTTTGTGGAGCCACCTTTCACAATAAGAAGTCTTGTGTAAAGATTCCCCATTTTCTAGAGTCAATGAACCTAATGAGAACTTGAAATCCATCCCACAGTTCTGCCAATCAGTATTTCAGCTAGAGTAAGTTAATTGGCAATATTTTTTCTCTTTTGTTTTCTTTTTAAAAAATTTCCTGGAAATGGTGAAAGACATTTTGTCATGACAATGAGATTAATGATAATATTAACTCAAATTTTGAATGTGGTCTCTTGAGGGAAAAAGTTCCCCCATCAGCATCAAATCCATACAATTCTGCTGAATTAGGAAGTTGGCAAATTTATTTACCATATATCTGTCTCCTTGTCCTTCCTCTTATTCACTGCTGCCCATATTTATCCTACACCATCCTTTGAGTTTAACTCTTTGATGACTACTGAAACAACTTTGTCACTTTCTTATTACCACTCATCACTTCCTATTGTTTTCCAACTCTCTTCAAGCTGTTCCTCATAACTTATGATGAGTGTGTGTGAATTAAGAAACAATATGGATTTCTTTTTCCTTGTAAATTGAATGCATTTTTATAGGCTTGAAAATAGGATAGACACTTGAGAATCCTTATTTGACTTGTAGGAGTCATAGAGACTGTGATGATGGCACGGGATAGCCTAGGTTTCAGATCTGCTCTTCATAGGATTATTATACGTTGCAGTTGACTCACAACGCCTAACAATAACAGCAACAACAACACTGGTACAGTGGTTAAAGCACTCACTTGCTAAATGAAAAGTCGGTAATTTGAACACACCAGCCTATCCATTGCAGAAATATGTGTCAATCTTGTGTAAAAATTTTCAACCATGGAAATCCTATGCCAATACATTGCCAGTTATTATAAACCATAAAAACAAAACTAGGCTAATAGAATCTATTCAAGTATGTTATTACAAGTGCAAGTAAACTGAGAGACAAACTATTTTTCATGATACAAAAGCATAAAAAAAGAAAGAGAAATTCTATTTAAGCAGTAACTAGAATATATAGCTAGCCCTCTATCTTCATGCCAAGGTTTTAGAGTCTGCATTTTAATTGTAGGGAAAAAATTGGCTTAAAAATGGTTTTGTGAACTGACTTAACACATTTGGTCTTACACAACTCATAGCTTCTTTGAAGTAAATAGTAACATGTACCAAAAAGTTTGAAGTGTGGGAAGATTAGACTACTCTTTTCATTATTTTGGGATCTGACTATAATAAACTAAAATAAGTGCATTGTCCAGTCAGAGAAATAATTGACGTCGGACCCTCCAATGATTTTTTAGAGGCTGTAAATCAAGTAATAGGAGATTGCCTATCTTTCTCACACAGCACTGCTGGTAGATTTCATCACCATAGAACCATGACTTTTGGGTTAGTAGTACAACTCTCTTGTAACTGCACCCAAAAGGTTCAGAATAAATTTTGCAACATATATATAGACAATATTTTTTTTAATTAATTTTAATGAAAGTTTACAGAGACTTAGAATTTTCATTCATTCACTGTTGCAGTTTTCTCCCTGGCCACCCTCTCCCTTCAAATCGCTCTTTGAAAAATAAAGAAAAAAAATCTTTCAATACAATCCTTCCCCTCAAGTCTCCACTGTGCAGCCTTCATTCTGGACTCTCATGACAATAATACCTAATTATATATCCCTTTTAAATAGTTCTTACCCTCATCTGTTTCAATGCGGTATACATTATCCCCTCTTTCTCAGTCTTCCCTCAACCCCAATTTCAGTCCCGTTTTACAACAGTGGCCCTATGCAATTGTCCTTTTGTGACTGAGATATTTCACTCAGCATAATGTCCTCCAGGGTCATTCACTTTGTATAATATTTCCTTGCTTTTTTAATGCAGCATAGTATTCCATTGTGTGAATATACCAAAGCTTCTCTAGCTATTCATTGTTGATGGGCATTTGGGTTGTTTCCAGCTCTTTGCTATTGCAAACAAAGCCAAAATAAACATGGGTGTGCATATATCTGCTTGGGCGGTGGGTATGGTTTCTTTAGGGTATATTCCCAGTAGTGGAATTGTGGGGTCAAATGGTATTTCTATTTGCAACTTTTTGAGAAAGTACCATACAGCCTTCCATAGTGGTTGCACCATTTACCCTCCCACCAACAGTGCACAAGGGTTCCAGTTTCTCCACAACCTCACCAGTATTTGATGTTTGCTGTTCTGTTAATTTTACTATTCTTACTGGAATGAGAAGATATCTCATAGTTGTTTTGATTTTCATCTCTTTTAGAGCTAAGGATTTTGAACATTTTTTCATGTACTTGTTGGCCATCTGAATGTCTTCTTTAGTGAATTGTCTGTTCATATCTTATGCCCATTTTTCAGTTGGGTTATTTACCTTTGTCTTGTGGTGGTATATATATATAGACAATCTTAAGTGCAGTATTTTTTTAGCAAATAAGAACAAAACTGTTGATGTTCCTCTTAAATGGGCTTGAAGAAGTCCCATCACACTATCTTTTTTGGTGTTCCAATCACCACTTCTTATACAAGTTCACATTTGACAAATCTATGGGTTCCAAAGTCAAGGGTCTGACTTCTTGCTAGCATCAAGCAACCACAATCGTGTAGAGTCCATGACATGATGAAGAGCCATTTAACTATTTAGGGTGGAATATCATCCCTAAGAATCAATGTTCTAGCCTCACTAGATTCTTGTACCTTTCCATACAATGGTTGGGTGAATCATAATAATATTAGGCAAATCCATCTGTCTTGCATATCCTTAATTTTACTTTTAAGCGCCTTTATGCAGTATTCATGAAACTAGTTTACAAACTTCCTTTTTACCAATAAAACACATTCCATGGTCATTTCGCTTATTGGTGATGTCTCAGTTCTTAAGATTTCAATAACTGGGCCAGCTATTCCAGTGCTTGGAATATACCTTGAGAATATGAGAACAGAGGCACAAACTGAGATTTGTATACCAGTGTTTATAGCAACATTATTCACCATCACAAGAACATGGAAACAGCCCAAGTGCCTAACTACAAGTGAAGGGATTGAAAAATTATGGTACATTTACACAGTGAAATACTATGCAGTACGCAGGAGCAGTGATTTTGTAAATTAGTACCTAACTTGGGAGAGACTGGAGAGCATTATGCTGAGTGAATTAACTCAGTCCTACAAGGATAAATATTGTATAAAACCATTATTGTAAAATGAGTATAAGGATCCAAGAGGGGTGGGAGAGGCTGGAAGCAGAGGAATGTGGATGTGAAGGAGGAGGAGGCGATTAATCATCAGGTTGTACAATTTGAGGGGTGAGGGAAATTGAAAGAATTTGTTCGAATTTTTATTCGAATTTTGTAGATAAACTAGTAGAAAAATTTTTTTAAAAACTAAAAAAATAATATTTCAATAACTAAGTACCTATAATATTGCTCTCAGGGCTATGAGCTTTTTGCTAACAAACTATCCGTAACTTTTTATATAGAATAAAGGACTAGGGATTGACAAAGTTTTAGTCATTGCTTTTGTTTCAAGTACATGAAACAAAGTACATTTAGGTGTAATTTAATGGTTTAGCCAATATAGAGATATCAGTTACTGTCTTCTTACATTTTTATTTTGTTTGTTGCTTCCACTTGTCCCAAAAGTCTGTGACATTATCTCTGAATCACTAGCAGAAGTTTCCTTTATTTGCTCCATATTACTAGTGTTAGTATAATTGATATTAGTTAATATAGAATAATAATATATTTCATAGCAGGGGTTTTTTTCAAAGCAACTGTTAACAGGTGCCTCCAAGACCTGTATTCAGTTCTGTCATTGTAATTAAACTAGAAATATTTCATTGTTGTTTTTATGTACCGTCAAGTCAGGACTGGCTCATAGTTGACTGTCCCATGGAACCAACTCATAGATGATCCTCTTACGGGTTTTCAGAATATCACAGGAAAGGAGATTGCCCATCTGTCTCCCAAGGATTAGCTGATAGGTTTGAACTGCAAGGCTTTGGGTTGGCAGTGCAATTCCTTACCACTAAGCCACCAGAGTTCCCTAACAGTGCATTGAGTAAACAAAGGTAAACGAAGACTATTTTGGTGAAATTATTCTTTTTGTGCAGTGTCTTTTATATTTTGGATTAGTGATAAAGTATTGCACATTATCCACTTGACTAGCCTTACTCAATCTACATATAGTTTTAGAAGAGTAATTTTGTTAAACTTTTGGAAGCTAGAGCCTATTGTCCTATTGTAAGGCAGAAGCTTATTATTGAGAAACTCAGATATTTTCTACAAATAGTAATAGAAAAGTGAGATTGTGTGCTGGTAAGGTGGTTATTGTTGTTGTGTACCATAGAGTCAGAACTGAGCCCTCGCCAACCCTCCATTGGGTTTTCAGAGGCAGCTAATCTCGAACAACTGGTGGACTCAAACTACATGTCTTAGGGATTTCAGGCAACTTCTTACGAGCAGGCCATCTGAACTTCTGGTAAGGTGGTAAACATGTAATTCAGAAAATCAAGGAGTTTCAATGACTTCTGGCTCTCACAGATTTTATTGTGTTCTCATATCATGTATGTCGGTGATGAAACAGCATGCTAATACTTAGCTTGTTAATATAATTTTAGGCACTTTAAGAAAAGATGACTCCATTATTTCAAGTCCTGATGTCACTGATATTGCACCAAGTAGAAAAAGAAGGCAGCGGATGCAGAAAAATCTTGGAACAGAACCAAAAATGGCCTCCCAGGAACATCAGCTTCAAGAAGAAAAGTGAGTTATTTTATTCTTTATCCTAATAATAAGATGACTTACAAATTTAAGCATATAATTTTTATTTCTATTTCTACTTAAAACCTTTTTAAAGAAATAAAACTACAGTTTTTAAACTGTAAAATGTTTGTGTATTTGCTGTAGTGTTTAGTTAATTCCTATTTATAACTAAATAAGTACTAAAAATATTTTTAAAATTATTTTTGTGATTCTTATTAATTAGAAATGACATATAGGATACTAAAAATGTTAGAATCCACTTTTGTTTACTAAAGTGTTTCAGTCTAATTTGCTGCTTAACAGAAACCCATATTGCATTCAAATTAGCATTTGATCTGATTATGCTTGGTGATGGTTTTGTGGGTTTTTGTTTGTTTTTGTTTTTCAATAAAATGACTTTTGTCATCTATTTCTTTGTATTGAAATTTAAAATCATATGCTTTGTACCTTTGCTTACTCTTTCTTTTGTGTGTCATCAATATATATCCAAGTTTAGTTTGAATACATTGAGAAATGTGAATAATTACCATTTCATTGTGGTCAAACAAGAAAAGGACCACTTATAAAAAATATTGTCAGTTGAATGAAAAAATGAATGTGCCATTTGTTTTTGGATACACATTTGTGCCCTTAGAATTTATTTTTTTCCCTAATTTTTCCATTAAGTTAGCAAAATATATAATGTAGTACCCCAGTTTAAAGAACTCCTAAAATTCTATTAAAAAGATTGTCCTTTCCGTCATATACCTCTGTGAAGCTCCATAACCTTTATACAGTTTAACTAAAGATACTCTAACTGATTGAATGTATAAGTAATGAACTGACCCAACGACACCTAACAACAACAAAAATCAAGCCATCGTGGAACATGCTTACAGAAATAAGAAAAAAGGTCCTCATTTTTTTTAATTAGTCATTTTTTCCAATAAAAATAATAGTTATGTTAATTACATAATTATTTTTTGTTATCTTAGGTTAGCTTTTTACATCTCAGAGTTTTCCATTTTAATATTAATTATGACCAATCTAATCTACTTAAATAAAAGCTCTTAAGGTTCTGAAGAACTTTTAAAAGGTTAGAAGAATCCCAAGAGTAAAATATTTTCTAATACAAATTATTGAGGCTAGAAAATCAGACATAATCCATGCCTTCTGGAAACTTAAAGCCTGCGAAGCAGGAGGCAGGATTATAATTATTAAATGATAAAATACTGTACTTATAAGTTAAAGTTAAAATAGGAAAAGGTGAAATTATTTTGTCTGTCTGTCTGTCTGTCATTGGTTTTTATTCTCTACAGCTGGCCTGAAGCATTTAAACTGTCCTTAGGTGCATAGCTATACCTTGAGTACATGATCATGCAAATTCCAGAAATAGTCAAATTCTTACTAAAGTGTATATATCATTGGATTGTATTCATTATCCTACCTTCCTTAGCATTTACTGTCTCAATCTCTTCAAATAATGAACAAAACAATTTCTATATTGCAAACATTAAACATGCTAAACTATCTATATGAATATGGGGGGAGGATTTCAGTTGTTTTGAAATATACAGAAATTCTGTATATCAGTTCTTAAAGTTTTAAAGAAGAGAGTAATGAGTGATCTGTGCCAGGCATGCTAGAAACAAAATGTACTAAAACTTTTGGTCTAATTCTTTTATCTGGTAAAGAATTAAAAATATGGTAGATGAAAGAAATATATTGGTTTGATGTTGAAAAGCTGCATCCTTCAATCTTTCACAACCTGGATATTTACTAAATGTGAGACTTTGAAATTACTAATATATTCTCAATATTGTGTATTACTTAAACAGCTTTCAAATACACGTTACAGAATTTGCTCCTTAAATGAAGGCAATGTGTTAGTTGCTCAACATGCATACAGTTAATATTGTGCTCCTTTAGCACTTTAGATGATCAAATCACTGTTTATTTTGTGTCATTTTCAGCAAACGCTGATATATTCATATCTGCTTGCTGAGTATTTAGGGAGCTTTGGTGGCCTAGTGGTAAGAAGCTGAAGGCACATCGTTTGAATCCACCAGCTGCTCCAAGGGGGAAGGATGAGCAGTCTGCCCAAGTGTAATTAACTGCCTCTGAAAACTCCTCTCCCTGCCAATTTGAATCCAGGAGCCAGCCCTTCTGCAAGAAAAAGGTTAACAATTTCCTCTTGTGTGATTTACAGCCTCTGAAAAACTGCTGAAAGATCAGCTTTCAATCTGTTCCAATTTAACAGCAGTGTGTTTTGAGACTTCATCATTGTAGGATATTTAGGCCCTGATAGTCCCTAAGAAGAGCACGTTAGCACAGTGGTTGAAGTGCTTGACTGCTAACCAAATAAACTGTGATTTAAATCTAGCAGCTGCTTCCCTAGGGGTAGACTTGGCAGTATGGGACAGTTCTCCTTAGCCCTATGGGGCCACTGTGAGTTGGAATCAGCTCAGTGTTGGTGGGTTGTTGTTTTTTTGCCTTGACTCGTTATTGCAAATGTTAGATAAATCTTGGCAGAAAGCAGAGAATACCAGAAGAATGTCTATCTGAGCTTCATTGACTATGCAAAGACTTTTGACTGTGTGGACCAGAACGAGCTATGGCTGACTCTGAGAAGAATGGGAATCCCAGAACATTTGATTGTGCTAATGCAAAACCTATACTTGGACCAAGAGGCAGTCGTCAGAACAGAGCAAGGAGACTCTACATGTTCAAAATCAAGAAGGGGGTCCAGCAGGGATGTATTCCATCTCCATACCTTTTCAATCTGTATGCAGAACAGATCATCCAAACACTGGGCTGTATGAGGAGGAATGTGGCATCAGAATTGGTGGAAGAATCATCAACAGCATGCGTTATGCAGATGACACAACCCTGCTTGCTGAAACTGAGGAGGACCTGAAGCGCTTGCTGCAGAAGGTCAAGGACTGCAGCCTTCAGTATGGATTGATGCTCTACATCAAGGGAACAAAGATTCTCACCACTGGGCCAATTGGCAGTATCAGTATGGATGGTGAAGAGATTGAGACAGTTAACAGTTTTAGTTTACTTGGTTCCAAAGTCAATACTCTTGGTAACGGCAGCCAGGAATCAGGAGACTAATTACATTGGGAAAGTCAGCTGTGAGGGACCTCTCAAGAGTACTGGAAGAACAACGACTTCAGGCTGGAGACTAAGGTGTTCCTGATCCGGGATATAGTCTTCGCAATTACGTGTTATGCATCAGAGAGTTGGACAGTGAATAGGGTTGATAGAGAGAGAATTGATACCTTTGAGCTGTGGTGCTGGAGAAGAGTGTTGAATATACCATGGACTGCTAGGAGAACAAACAGGTTTGTCCTGGAGAGGGTCAAGCCAGGCTGCTCCTTGGAATCAGGAATTCTGAAGTTTTATCTGACATATTTTGGGCATGTTGCAAGGAGGGACTGGTCCTTGGAGAGGGACAGCATGTTAGTGGAGGGACAGCACAGGAGAGGAAGACCCTCAATGAGATGGATCAATTCAGAGATTGGGGTAGTGGTAATAGGTGTGTTGGGGATTATGAGGTTGGCACAGATAGAGCAGGGCTTAGAGCTCTTATACATAGGTTGCTTTGAGTGGCAGGTGACTTGATACCACATAACAACAACAAATCAAAGCCTTATAAAATGGGAATGTTAGTACTTAGTGGAACAGTTTTTAGATAAAATTGAATGACTTACATAGGAAAGCAGCATACTACCTTCTGTGTGCATAATAAGATTTAATCTAATGTCAATTTGAAAAAAATGTTCAACTGTACTCTAAACTCAAGGGTCGGAACCAAATATGTTATGGAGTTTTGGTTTTTTTGTTTTTCATTTACTCACTGTACCTAGCATAGTGCCTACAGTGTAAAATTTTAATAATTTTCCTGCCAAAAGCTTTTCTTTACACATCTTGTTCACCATCTTTCAATAATATGATGAGGAGCTATTATTTTTTATTATTTTATTAGTGGGTTAACAGAGATAGATTTAATTTGAGTGGCATAGTGGATTTTGTCTTCTAATTTCCTGGCTGCTGGTGCCAGGAATGTTAATTGTGTAGCCAAGCAAACTAAAGCTGTTAACAATCTCAATCTCTTCACCATCCATACTGATGCTGCCAATTGGCCCAGTGGTGAGAATCTTCATTTTCTTGATATTGAGCTACAGTCCATATTGAAGGCTATAGTCCTTGACCCTCTGCAGCAAGTGCTTCAGGTCCTTCTCAGTTTCAGCAAGCAGGGTTGTTGTCATCTGCATCACGCAGATTGTTGATAGATCTTCCTTCAATCCTGACACCACATTTCTCCGCATAGAGCCCAACCTCCTGGATAATCTGTTCTACATATAGATTGAAAAGATATGGAGATAAGACACATCCCTGGCATATGCCCTTCCGAGTTTTACTTAGATGATTTTACTTGTTGTTGTTCAATTCCACCGAGTCATAGGCAACTCATAGCAACCCTATGAACCAAAGACCTGAACACTTGCATAACTTTGTTTCTCCAAGTTTATAGGCTTTCCAGAGTCAGGCTGTTTCGGAAGTGAATGCCACTCCTGCTTCCAAGCTTGTTTTAATCAGATGAGTTATTTAAATTTAACAAATTTAGTCACACAAACAATTATTATTAACATCATCATCATGTTGTTGTTGTGCTGTCAAGTCACAGCCTTCCCAAAGCTGATCCTCCAGCAGGTTTTCAGAGGCAGTTGATCACATGGTAGGAGATTGCCCATCCTTCTTCCATGGAGCAGCTGGTGGATTCAAACCACCTGCCTTCAAGATTGCATGCAACGCAGCTTCTTGCCCCTAGGCCGCCAGTGTTCCCTATCATTGTCTTACTGAATTAAATTATTAATTCAACTTTAAACAGTCACTACTGTTGAGTAACTGTTTGGTGGCACAATGTTTCTCTTTTAAATAATATATCACTGTGTATAATAAACTTTTGGTGGTGGTGGTTGATTTTTTTTTATAGACTCTCATAACCCAGCAAA